ACGGCAAGAGATTATGCAGGAAGGAGGTCAAGACTGTGGTAAAAAGCGAGCGAGTTTGGTGGAGACGGAAACACGTGTTTCGCTTTGGGGACGGGTACTCCGGGGAACCGATGGCACGTGTCTTTGCAATTGTGAAGTAGATCTTTGAAACGTTACGACTCTTCGTCGAGAGTTATGGGTTCTTGGGGAAGGTCTGGGGTGGCAGCGTTTGGAAGCAGCTTGCTTCTTGAATTCCACTACTGGTCATGTAAACTGCCAATCTTCAGTGTGGAAATACAATGTCCTCTTTCCTCCACAGAGGATAGGGTTTGGACTACCTCTCCTGAACTGGATTGGGTGGGCACAACGGTTTCTTTCTTAGAAATCAGGGGCATTGTTTTTTTACCATGCATTCGAGTCCAGCTTTCGCAGGCTGTTCTGGGAAGAGGCTTAGGCACTCGACTGCGATGTACAAGTGACGAGGACTTCTTCCGCTTTGCTGAAGGCACTGGGAGGTTGAAGCAGCACTGTGTTTGGGCACTGTGTTGAAGGTTGGATGGGTCGGGAGGGGGGAGCGCTGGACAAACCATATGTGTACAGTTAAAGGGTGGATATTTCTAGCATTATCTGAGTGGAGGTAAAGTCAGTCCTATTCAAGAGAAGTCGGTCTGCCAGGGCATCTGGTGAGTGCAGATCATCCTTATGCCCACCTGTGACTGTGGAGGTCAGCACTGTCCGGTGACCATGGCATTCAGGCTTGATATTGACGTGAAAGGGAGGGAGGTGTCTCCATGACCCTGGTCTGGGTGTCATAGGTCTGGTTCCGCGACCAGCGACAGGAATCGGTTTGAGATAAACTTGCAAAAGCTTTGGCAGCCCATTCTCGAAGGAGATGTCACGGTTATGCCGCTGGCATTTCAGACTGATCGCAACTGGTAAAGGGTATTGAGAAGGTGTGCCAGGGCCATGTGGGTAGTGAGCTCCTCTCCTCATCACCTCCCAGTTGTATGAATCGGGGAAGTGACTTGAGTGAATTTCAAACTAATTGAGTCCAAGTTTGGCCAAGAGTGGGAACTGGGACATATACATACATGTGCGGATTGATGATGTTTTCGTAGTGTTCTCTCGCTTAGTGTATTTGCAATGTAAGAAGTTCCTCAGGGTGGGTGGGTGGGTGGGTGGGTGGGTGCGACTTGCCTTTCACCAGTGGATTGAGCAGTGGTCTTGTTGTGCGTCTCGTGTCGCCTTCTGTTGCACGTCGTTGAGCGATATCCACTCTTTTGTGATGGCGCTCAGCAGCAACCATGATTTGTGGCCTCTAAGCGATTAATCCCTTCACTTCAATAAGCATCCTTGTCCTGCACCTCTTATGCATGCGCAATTGTACGACATGTTCTGCTGCCTTTCCATACTTTATCTGTGTCATCTGCCTTGTCACTTTCCATCGACATGGACGGTCCGCGTCCTGCCTAAGAACGTTGCTTGCAAGTCGGGAAATTATGATCGGATGGTTGATCAGGTTTTTTTTTTTTTTTTTTTTTTTATTGAACTCGATTGCCTCTGATGCTTTGGATGATGGAAATTGGGAAACGCTCTCCTTCCCTTTTGGTGTCACTACTTCTTCTCTCTACCTCTGGTCTTTCTGTCCCGGTGGTTGCATTGTTGAGATGGGCATGGCTGATGGCCTTTTGACACCCCAGGTTCTGGCTGCTAGATTGCTACGTAAGCTTGGAGTAAAGGACACGTATCTGAAAGCTCTTGATTAAAGTTGATTTAACATCATCAGTTGTGTGGAGTATGTCATACGTAATGGTTGAAATGAGCACCTGGTACTGATAACTTTGACAGGAAACGGTTGAGGCTTGGTTGGCGACGCTTTGTTATGTTTGACGTAGCATGAGGTTTGATAATGCTCTCACATGTCTGAGACGGTGTGAGATTGTGTGAGGTTTTCGATTTCAATTTGCAATGCATCAGAGTCCTCTGTGGCTGCCACAGTGTGTATGAGATGACACCAAATGAGGGGATGGACCCACGAGTTGGCCAACATTTTGTAATTTTCTCTCCCATTCCTCAGCTGTCTCTGTGTGTGGACTTGGCTTTCTGTGTGAGAGTAGCTAGTCTGGAGGAACATGTGGAGGCCAGGTAGAGTGCCTTGTTTCTTGTTGATGCTTGCTGCATGGTAGCATCATTTCTCCACTCTGGCGTAGTCATCCAGGTTCAGGATGTTTTTATTGCCCTTTCTCGGCCATCCTGCTGCTGCTGCTCAGCCTTTCACGTCTTGAGGCGGGTGTTTGTGGTTCCAATGATGGTTGCACCAACTCTCTCTCACTCTCTCTGCGCTGCTTTGGTTTTGGATGTTCTCATCTGGGTGGAATAGGGCCTGTGGTGGTGAAAATCCAACACGCAAACACACACACTCACATACACACACTCACACCCATAACAGTTTTTTTGTGCTTCTTATTCTGTTTGCTATAGAGGTGTAAAGCTGTTTCGATTGTGAGTATGCTATTCATCTTAGTGTGCTCCGTGTTATTTGCTATAGAGTTTCAGCTGTTTCAGTTTTTTGGATTTCGGCTCATCTGGATGGAAAAGGGGTTATTGTGGTGATAGTCTAGGACGCACCTTCACACACTCCATTCACTCCGACACACGTGCACAACCACACAACCGCAGCCCGCCGATGCAAGTTTTTTTGTTTTCATACATGGCATGTCCACTTTATAGGCAGGGCGGGGAATGACAGTGTCGCCTGTGACATCTTTCTAAGGCGTGCCATCCGTTGCGGCAAATGCAATTGCAAGAATTGGGTGTGGTGCTTCCCCGCTCCACACCCGAAGCGGTCCTGTCCGGTCTGTAGGGGTGGCCACTTATACCGTGGGCAACTGCTGCGCAACTCAAAATCTCCCGCAGCCCAAACACGGACTGGCCTCTTGGGCCATTCTACAGTAGTCTGCTCCGGCGGTTAGTATTGAGAACTCTCTGAAGTTTCTCTCTCCTATGTTCCGTTCTTTTCCCCTGCACTCAACTCCTCTCTCCCCTTTCTCCCTCCTCTACGCCTCGCTTCATGTAGAACTCCACCGCCTACCCATTTCCTTCCTCTCTCCTCTTGTGCAGTACTAGTAAAAATGCATACAGATGAGCATCATACGACAAAAGACAAAATATAAGCTGAGGATCTGAAGAAAAATGAACGGTAGTATACCTCCCTTTTTTACTCTGCCAACTTTCATAGCGGGCCGTTAAACCACCAGTACATCCAGCTATCGGCCGCGGGCCCTTTTCGAAGGCCACCCGGCGCCAGCTCAATTTATCTACAGCGCAGGGCCTCCGAAATTGAACGGGGGAGACGTTTTTGTGGGCTGATTGATGCCCAGACTCGGACATGATATGGACACTGAGACCTCACGGAAGACTATTTCGGTTGCCAATAACATCGTGTCACACTTCGTTTCTTCTCTCCCAGTTTGTCTCATCTTCCTTCCCCGTTCATCGGTGTGCTCGTCTGCTATGTGTGTGAGGTCAGGCAGCATTTTTCTGTGTATGCGCTGCCTGAGCTGTTCTGATTGTGTGCGGCCGATATTTTGGGTCATGTCCAGTCTGATGGAGTCATCCTTGCCTCTTTCAGTCTTCTGCTGCATCACACTGCGGTCCCTCACTTCTGGTATTTCTTGGTTCTGTGCCATACCATGCCTATCTGAGATTGATAGTTATGCGACAGTCTGTAGAGTTTTCCATCTGGTGTGGGTGAGTGATAGTCTACTTTGATTTTGGTTAAGGTGGATTATCACTTACAGTGTAATCAGTGAGGGGATTCTACAGACTGTTGAGGGTTCAGCCTCCTGNTCAGCCTCCTGATGAGTCGGTGAAACTCCGACGAAACAGTTTGTCACATCCCCTCGTTTGTTGTCCTCTTCTCCCTCTCTGCCTACGGTTTACCGTAGGCAGTTCTATTTGTGACTATATATATATTTGTGGCCGATAACATCGTGCCGCAGTTCATTTCTTCTCTCCCAGTTTGTCTCATCTTCCTTCCCCCTTCATCTGTGTGATCGTCTGCTATGTGTGTGGTTGGTCAGGCATCATTTTTCTGTGTATTATCTGCCTGAGCTGATCTGATTTTATGCGACCGAGATTTGGGTCATCTCCAGTTTGATTGAGTCAGATCCTTGGCTCTTTCAGTCGTCTGCTGCATCACACTGCTGTCTCTCACTTCTGGTATTTCTTGGTTCTGTGCCATGCCTATCTGAGATTGATAGTTGTGCGACATATAAACTTTTGGCCGTTTCCATCTCGTTTGAAGATTTTAAGGATCACAACAAAGTTTGTATCCACAGTGGGATGCCTTAGGGAATGCAGAAAACAGAGGAGTATCTGTTTCGTTCTGCGAGAGGACGTCGTTGCTTGCAGGAATGTGGATCCTGGGGCTGTTGTCTGACCTGAGAATAAGGTGTCCATATGCTTGGTAATCGGGCTGCTGGATTTGGGCACAGTGGTTGCTGGCAAGAAACTCCAAAAATGGCATGGCACCACACGATCAGGACGGCAAGCTGCATCCACAGTCTCCCTAGAGAACACTGAGGAAACAAAAGAATGGAAAGAAAACACACACCAGCATATAACTCTGTGGAGCCTCAAGTCATACTGCTTCTACTGGCCAACAGTGCTTGGCACAGGGAATGGAGAATGCCGTGGAGAATGCTCTGAACGAGTGGGCTCAGCAACAGGCGGCCGAAGGCCGAGTTATCTTAGTAGTAAGATATGCCGATGATTTGGTGACAGGCTGTTTTGACATCTTCTTTTCGTCTAGTGTGTCGTTAAAGTCCTGTCGGTGTTGTCACGGTCTCTTTCTTCTTTGTTGTGTACTCGTCATGACGTCTCGTTTGCTGTAGATGTGTGTATTAGAGTATGTGTGTAGCCCTCAATGGGCCCTCACTATGCACCAGGTGTGTTATCTGATTTGCTCTTCGGTGGGACTCTTGCGTTATGTCTTGATGTGATTGTCAATGTGTTTCTATGCGAATGTGCCTCCTTGGTCGTGCTGAGCGTGTTTGATTATGGTTCCTGCAAAGCAGCATCGCCCGGCGCCCCTAATAACATCACCAAGGCCCGGCTCTGGTCATCGAAGGATGTCGATAACACCTTCTACGTTCAGTTCAAGTGCGCTCAGAAGTCCGAGTACGCTAGGACCTGGGGCCCTCTCATCTCCGACCAGCAGCGGTGTTCCTGCCCAACCAACGACTCCAGGCGCCTTAGCCTCCACTCCTGGAAGTGCTTATGTTGTGTCCTCCTTCAGCCGATCAGCGCTTACTCCAAAGGCAGCGGCAGCGCAGCAGGACTCTCGCCCGGACAGCGCAGGCACCACAACGATCAAGTCAGCCAAGGAGAGTGCACAGGAGGCACAAGAGCCAGAAGATGAAGAGAAAGGTGAGAAGATGAGAGTGGCAGAGGAAGAGGATAGAGAACAACGAGCGCATGCACACGACAGTAGTGTTGTAGAGCCGGAGTCCTCTGTCAGCTAGGTATATGTCAACAAAACCAGTGATCAGAACAGTCTCGCAGACTTTTCGTCACACATTTGTCCTTCGGGCTAAGAAGGAGAACGAACGTAGAAGAGAACCACGAAGCGGAAGAGGGAAACGCAAGAGCAGGAGAGTGGCAGAGAAAGAGGAGGATATGGATATAGAGAACAGGGAGGCGTTCACTGGCCCTCTTTCCACTCCCCGGAACGCTAAGTTCAAGGGTAGAGAACAGTTAAAGTGTCTGAGCCAGTGAAGGAATCACACTATGACAGGTATGACAGTCGTCGATTTGAAGTCAGTGAGTACGGGGTTGAATGAGCTTGGCAACATGCGCTTGCGACGTTTGAGGCGAACAGCAGCCTCAGCCTTGAACCACCGGTACACCCGGGGGCCGCCTGGAGGGGCTCCACTCGGTGCCAAGCTTTGCCGAACGAACCCCCGCCAGCGGGACACTTTTGTTTCTTTTTTGGCTGGCGCCACCAGCCATTGTGGTCCGGTATCCCCGAGGCACAAAATTTTCGGAGTAGACGGCAAAACTTTTTCAGCGAGACTGCGGCCATGTACTGGCGGTTTAGGGGTTTAGCAAACAGCTTTTCTGTGTGACCACGGCCGTAAGGTTTAATAAACAGCTTTTTGTGTAGCCACAGCCTGAAGGCTTGAGGAATGGCTTGTCCAGCGACAGCCTTGGAGTCCCAAAAACAGTTTGTCTGTGTGATTCTCCCTTACCTCTCCATAACATTGGTCTTGGTCAGGAGTTGCCGATCAGGAGTTCTAGGTCTGGAGTTGCTGATCAGGAGTTCTACGTACGGTGGAGGAGTTGCTGATCAGGAATTCTAGCTACGGTGGAGGAGTTGCTGATCAGGAGTTCTAGGTCCGGAGGAGTTGCGGATCAGGAGTTCTAGGTACGGTGGAGGAGTTGCGGATCAGGAGTTCTAGGTCCGGAGTTGGTCCACTGTAAGGGCTGCGCTCCCTTAGAGCAACTCTTGACCAAACATGCTTGGCCATCGGATGGCCAAACATGCTTTAGGCGGTCCCACGGGGCCAGTCTGCTTATGAGGGTTAAGATTGCCCCTAATCGAATATTTGTCCTTTCCCTTTGTAAACTGACTGGCGTCCATGTCAGGACCTGTCAGTGAGAGCTGCGGTGAGGAACATGTTTCTCAGGCTCCAGAGGGATCTGTTGAAGGTGCACGACGTAGTGTGGACATTGTGGTCTGTATTTTGTACTTCTCTCTCTCTCTCTCTCTCTCTCTCTCTCTCTCTCTCTCTCTCTCTCTCTCTCTCTCTCTCTCTCTCTCTCTGTGTGTGTGGACGGGAATGTTGCACTCCTTTTCCCCGAGTTGCAGTCCCGAACTTTCGGGAAGTAGTCTCTTGAGAGGCACGTCTGCTTGATTCGGGATCCATGATCAAGAGGACTGTGCCGAGTATGTTCAGCCAGATAAGAGGGAAAGCTGGTGCAATGTTTGAGGCATCCTTTGGGCATTTGCTACTCCCGACACCTGCATCACATCCTCGTTTTTCTTTTTTCCTTTTATTTAAATTCTTTTCTCTCTCTCTTTTCTTCTTTTTTTTTTGCATCACGGAGTCTTCTTCTTTCTTCCTGCAGAAGTTTCTAATTATGATTCAGAAAGGGAACCGCAATGACATTTCCGGCTAAGCAGGTTGCAGTGCGATGAAATGTCAGCTTATCCGCTGGTGGGTGGCAGTGTGATCAAGAGAGAGAGAGAGAGAGAGAGAGAGAGAGCTTAATATGAGAAGGAATGCATGATCTCTCATAGTTCAAAAAAAAAAAACAGTTGTGACTAAACTTCACTGAAGTATGACTTGGCCCCTTCTAGCTCTTCAAGATGTGTGCTGAATTGACTGCGGCCAGCTTGCGAACACATCTACACTGATCCCAATCGCCCGAAGAAGACATCTAAAGACAACTTTTCAAGTTTTGGTCACCTCAGAAATGAGTGCTTGCTCGCTTGCTTGAGAGGGTTTTTGTGGCTATACACTGTATACAGTGAATTAGGCGGCGTTCGTCTTTGCTAGCAGCAGTAGTCTAGAGATGAAATATCTCCGTAGCTGATCTATCCTCTGCTGCGAACTGCGTGATTTTGGTGGCTGAGATGAAATATCTCCCTAGCTGATCTATCCTGCTGCGAACTGTGTGATTTCGTGTCAGTCCACTTGACACCGGGCATGCTGCAAAGGCAGTACAGTACCATCGGTTTTTATCTCAGAAGAAGATACCATGGATTACGCCGCTTGCTTTGCTATCCGTTTCATTCGGGACCGTTTGGTTGGGACAAAGGGGTCAGAGAGTGAGGTCCCGCGAGGTCCCGCGAGGTCCCATGCACCCCACACTCTTGAACTGTTTATGGTGCTGTCAGCTGTAAATCCCAAGGCGAGGCATGCGTATTTTTTGGTGTGTTTTGGATCGCGCATTTTGAGAATGTGATCAGCACGGCAAGTTTCGTTCATGGCGTAGTAGCATTGTATACACTCCCGCTCATTTCTTTCTTCCATGGTTTCTATTTTTGGAATTATCGTGAACTTGAATAGCAGCAACTGTCATCAGCGGAGAGGACTACCGTCTTCCCCCGCCAGCTAACCTCGCACGCACAATGTGGCGATGGAGTTTGCAGTGAAATGCAGAGTGGAAGGAATTTGAACAAAGATTTGCAAATTATTAGACCAAATTACAGATTGGATGAAATCGGTCGAGTCGTATGGTTTCGGCAGGAGGGGCACGCCATCACATGTCCAGGGGTTCAATTTGGGGGAATACAAATCCACGATAATCCTTTGCCTTGCAGTCAGACTGCCGCTTGCTGGCGTAGATGGGGTTGCCCTCTGTTGTTCTTCAGTCAAAATGCACAGTGCCCTTTTTTGAGTGGGCATCATTTTCATTCAGCAAAGGCAGTTTCATGTTGAGACTGAGGACTGAGAATTCAGAGTTGATAGACACACCGCATCCGATCCGAAATGCGCTGCGTAAACAAAGAAGATTTTTGGCCTTCGATGCATACGGTACAAATCCCATGGTATGTTGAGCCGACAAGTTCTTCTGCGCAGGTGAACTGCCTCCCTGCAACAGAATGCTTGTATGCATTTCAATGTGGCCGCTGCGTGATGGTCGCCATTAATTGTATAGGGAGTGAGGGGAACTGACACGCCAGCGGTCATAGAGAGGAAGAGAAACAGCTGGCCTCTGACGCCCTGCCGCTCTGATTTGCATTCACGGTGGGAAAGTATAGCGAGGAAGAAAAACAGAAGAAAAAAGAAAGGGAAGAGTGTATGTACTCGTTTGACGACAGAGTAGCAGCATGACATAGCTGATTGGGTATTGAGAGTTTCACGCCATCAAGGATGTACTCCATGAGATACAGACGTAGTAGACGTAGCATGACAGGGCTGATTGGACATCCAAACTTTCATATCATCGATGATCGTCTTTTGTAGTGTATTCAGAGAATTGCCAGTTATGAGCTACGCTTCTCGGCCATTTGCAAATTCCATTTAGAGTCAATATGTGTCGTCTTAAACCACCAGTACTTGGCCCATACATCGGCCGCGGGCCGTTGCCGTTAACGCTACGCAAAGTTTGGGCTTCGGGGTACCGGACCTCAATGGCTGGAAACGCCAGCCAAAAAAAATCGAAACGGTACCCTGGCGCTTCGGCAAAAATTGGCGCGCAGGGGGATTCCAGGCTTGGCAACGATAGCTGGGCCAAGTACTGGTGGTTTAAACCGCCAGTACATCGCCCCAGCCTTGCAGAACGTTTTTGTTGCCACAAGCAAAACTCAGAGGCGCCGCACAGCCAGGCCCGCTGTTAAAAAAATAATCGGCGGCCTCCAAAGGGGTGTGGGTTTCATGCTGACACCCACGGGCCTAAATGTGGTGTACTGGTGCTTTCATCCACCCTGGCACAGTACATGGTCGTGCAAATGTTTGGTGAATTTGAGCACTTGCACATGCCTATGAAAAGGAAACCACTCACGCTGTCCCATGCAGAGCACAAGTTCTGACGCACCAAAGCCCCATGAACTGCGTCGACCTCTATGACTGAATCATGACCTGTACTGTCTGTACAGATCAGCAAGGCAAGTGAGATGAACATCCCGTAAGAGGGTCGATGTAGAACAGGGACTGTAAATCGCGATGCAAGGAGCATTGTGGCCAGCAAATGGCTCCGTGAATCACACAAAGATGACCTCCGCAATCCCGGCGCCCCCTGAGGGGGAAAAGGAGCCAGCCAGGCCTCCGACATCGCAATGACCCCATTCTAAGCAAGTCATCGAGATAGCGGCAGGGCTCTCTCTCTCTCTCTCTCTCTCTCTCTCTCTCTCTCTCTCTCTCTCTCTCACACACACACACACACACACACACACACACACACGCACACACAC